TATACAACAAAAATGTAGAGCTGGAAAATTTTGAGCCTAACAATTTGTTTGTCAACTTTTCTCCGATCTCCCAGTGACGCTGGAGTGACAAAACACACTTCATAGCTTAAATTGTTTCCCTAGCTTTAGCACTCTTGCAGACGAAGTAGAGACCACATTGATGCAAGTATCATGTTCAGCGAGTTAAGAAACTCCTTTTGAAACTCCAATTTTCATCTGAAGGGTTGTTGGTTTTACATTTTTAGCTTTAAAATGTACTGCTTGTGATATTGTAACAGTAGTCACATTTACATACTATAGGACTATTTTTATTTCAGGATTCATCCGAAAACTTACCTTCGCGTACTAGATCTCTACGAGTGGTATGTTCCCGCCGTGCCTTATCAAAGTGTTGTTTTAATGGTGTTTCAGCTTACAAAATTAAAAAGAGAATAGCAATGCTTGGATGAGTAAATGTCATCAGAACAAATTCTCTTAGGCTCTATGTTCTCTGCGCAAGAGAAACGCTATACAATATAAACAGAAACTTGAAACATAATTCAGCCTTCGATTCTGTTTTTGATAAGCCCTAAGGATTTGCTAATATCTCGTGGAAAAATGTTCGAATTGTGAACTGCTTAAAAGCGAGTCATTCAAGAACAGCACCACAGCACTTGTCATTCCAATAAACCTGATTGATTTTGTTTAGCGATGTTTTCAGCGCCAATGGTACAAAGTGCCAACCCAGAAGTAACCTTAGGCATCAAATATTTTACTGCATGCATTCACTATCTTATGAGCAATTTTCAAAAATACTAAGCCAACAATTCTTCTTCTAGTTTCTTTGAGTTCTGTTCTAATCTACTATACGATGGATATTTTTGGTTCACCTTAAAGGAACTTCGTTACTGGAAATAAATGTAAGAGTAATTTACTCAAGAAATGCCCCTTCGAAAAACCTCACATCCACTAAATATAATGCTTTCAGTGACATTATTTGAGTCAGTAGCTTTAACCAACGATTCGTTTTCATCGCTTTAACAATTGTGCGGCAACTTACTTTGAGTTTACTCACGCTATTTCCCACAACTTAACTGTCCGTACATTTTCGTTCATCCTTCGAAGCAGGATAAACCAGGTATTGAGTAGTTGGTCCATATGAAGTCTTCCCGTTGAAACATACTCCACAATTCCTTTCATGCTGACGGCTTTCACGGCGTCTTCCTTCACTTGTTAAGAAGATTCCTTCCGTCGAGGAAGAAAAGCCTTCTCGACCACGAGGAACGAAAGAATAAAATGCAAATAAGATGCACGACCCAGGGGAAAAGAATCACATCTTAAGATTTGCACGTGAGAGCTTCATCGCGAGGAACCTGAATTTTTGTTTCAGTTGAATAGGTCATTTGTTTCACAAAGAGTTCTATTGCATAACCATATGGAAATGAATTTTAGTTGTACGATGTCTTGCAAATGAATTTAGATTATTTCCATACCAAAAGTTAATTGCATATTTACCAGAACTCATTTTGAAACCGAGGTAAAACGGCAACACTGAAAAGACATTTCACGACAAGAATGTCCTATTTCCTCCGGTCTATCCTGAATAGATTAACACAACCCCTGTAAATAACAAGACGCTGTGATAGCGTTAATTAAGGCTTCGTTTAGGAAATCTAGTTTGGGACAAATAATCTGTTCATTTTCCTCTCGCGCGTTCTCGTTTGCCTCTGTTTGTCGGACAGAATATCTAATTTGAACCGGTTTCAGTGATAAATGAATAGGTTAAGAAGAATTTAAGTCTAGTGAACGAGGCATTGTAAAACATGCACACTAGTTGTCAAAATCAGAAAAATAAAAATAAAAAAAAAGAAAAGAAACAGAAAAAAATCAAAACGCTTTTAATCTAACTCGTGATATCCACGAATTGATAACATGGCCACTAAAATAAGTCATTTGATGTGCAAATTGTGAGCAAATTGTGTGATTTCCAGTAGTAAAGTAAAACAAGCCCTTGACTAGAAACGAAACGAAGAAACGAAAATAGGCTCAAAGAAGAAATAAATAATCCATTTCTGTGCAGTAAAGGAAAAAACCCACGCAGGAAGAGACAAGGGCTCTTGGTTTCGTCAAAAGACCTCTAAAAGCCTTGGTGACTTTCTGGTCAACGCTGCAGCGAGATAGAAAACGCATTTGCAATGCAGTACTTTTCTCGGGAAATTCGGATCCACTTGTGACGTCTGCAGTTTCATGAGGTGAGATAAGTCTCCTGGCGTGGCGCGAGTTGTTTACAAACCTTTCTGAGCTAACATCTCGCATTTGATTTGTGAAGAATACATCAACTTTGATCGAAATTATAGGGTATGTAGACTTGACAGATTTTCGCGAGATGTTGCCAAAAACATTTTAAGGATAATCAAGGCAAACAAAGCATGTCAGTAAATTTTACGTTTAAAATACTTTCTCGTTTAGTCCATTTAGCGTTTTTCTAGCTACTCCAACTTTAGATGCGAATGTCTAGACCACCAATCAAAATATCGAAAAAAGCCTGACACACTTTTGTTGAGTGATGAAAGGAGGATAAGGCCTTACAGCTATTTTGCGCTCGTCAGTGCTACGATGCATGTTCGATACCCAATAAATTCAATATAATATTTCTCGTTCATTTCACGGTAAACCGACTCCTGACACTTCCTGCCTTTTTCTTTTCTTTTTTTTTTTTTTGCAGCTTTGTTTGTCATTAATTCTATGTTAAAAACAAACACGGACGGCGATTTTCAAACAAACTAGACTTTGTCAAGCCTCACCAAACTTCAAAAGCGCCGACGTCCTGTCGACTGGCTCAGAGTGGGCCAATTTTGAGTCTAGTGTCAATAGTGATAGATCTGTAAAATTACTTTTAACGGAAACATCGACTAAATTGTTGAAAAGAAGGTGTTGATTTCGTATGTGATGAACACTTTGCGATAAGCAAACGATTTGCTGATTTAATTTTTAAGTGGCGAATCTTTTGCTGAAATGAAAATTTGGCGGAGACAAGATTGGTCGTGATTTTTGGTAGAGCCGGAACAATTACTTCAGCCTGGTACGGATTGGTGCTTAGTCAAATACGTTTATTACTCACCTTGTTTGATTAGAAAAGATATTACTGTCATTTTGTTTACAAACCCGGAGGATTAAGCCAAGTCAGTATGTAATTAAAAAAATTATCAGTACTATGAAGCGTACACGGAGAGTTTCCAACTGACACTTCACCCTCCAAAATTGCTCGTACTGATAAAAGACACTTTTGGCACCCATGATAAAACGAATGTAGAAGGCGGATATTTCTGATTATCGGTACATATTCAAATACAGCAGGTGCCCCTTAGCTGAATCAATAGAGTGTAATTAAACGCGTTAAAGCAACTTTTCGTTGAAGCCATTAAATTACCGTAAATTATTTGTACGTGCCAGCTGCTGCAAGTGGTTTTGGACTAATCACCCTTGCAGTTTGGTGGGCGACGCACACTTATACGGAACAACATTTTGGCAAGTCATTTCATTTGTGAGGTAAAACTGATTTACTCACGTACAGTACCGAAACCAATAGAGTGCGAATAGCTGTAACGTAATTCGTTTGTAGTTGTTAACTGCTGTAATTTGTGAAGGATTAGCCACACAATAGCAGTTTTAGTATAGACGAGCAACGCGCGTACGGAAGGAAGAAAACTTCGCTTTATTTCTTGGGAGTACAGCAGTGTTTCGGCACAACTGAAGGTAGCTAAAACAGGATTTGCATTAAAAACTTGTTTTAACAGAGTGCTTTAGCTGCTAAGCCACTGAAACAGGTATTCTATATAGAAACGAAACTAAATTGTCATTCCATGTAACACTGAGTGACACATTTTCGAAATTGTGGCCAATACTGAAATCTTCCGCTTTCATGTCGGTTTTTGTCAACTGAGAGATGTTCTGTCAAAGAAACCTTAAACTTCACAAAAATGTCAATAAGGCCAATGTAAACCTTACGTCGTACAAATATCATTAACACCAGCTATCTCTTTTATTAATGAAACAGGATTTGCCTCAAGCCGCCAGTCATGACACAATATCTGCTGTTTCTGCTGTTGTTTTCGCTATCTGGCGTCGATTCCAGCGTCGACCCAAACTTCCAAAGCTACGCGTCATGTAATAGCATTTGTCGATGTTCGAGGGGCGAACTAGGAAAGATTTTGGTGAAGTGCAGCTTCGATGGAAAAAATGTGACTGAAGAAAGTCTTCATCTACCACCTGATGTGTACAGCTTGTAAGTAGATCTCAGTTAGTACATGTAATACAGTAACTAAAATTGAATTGTAGCTGTAATACAGTTTGAGAGAAAAAGGGACAGCAGTGCCTGTCTTTTTTCATGGAAATACTGTTTGTTATAAGCAAACTTTTATAAGCAGCTAGGTTGCAAGAAAAAGTGAATGAAAGACAGTAAGCTCGTATATTGTCATGATAAACACATAGGTGGTGGTGGAGCTAGTATTATTCGATCGTGAGAACTGAGCAGAATTTTGCAATTAGCTAATGATCTAGAAAACAATGTTGTTCTAAATGAACCACCCTACCAAACAATCGTTATCCCATCGATAGCCAATGGCAGTTCAAACATAGCTAAGAGGTGATAATAAGAGGAACTCTTCAATTTATCCTCCGGTAATATCTATACGGTTTTCACCTAAGTATCTGAAGTCAGTTAAGATTTCAGCATGCATCGTTTTCTTAGTCAATTTTGACGACACAGTAATGCATGTTATGATTACACCAAATTTTTGTATGATCCATTCGACTCCAGTTTTAGTCTATAAGTTGGCTTATGTCTCTAAAGAAAATGGTTGATGTCTTAGAAAGAAAACCCTGAGAATAAAATAAATTTGTTCAAAACCTGTAAATGATATTGGATGCTAGCGGAATAATATCCGAATAATATGAGAAGGCAAATGATTGAAAAACAAATGATGACCGAAAAACAAAACAAAGTGAATAAGACAATGATGATTACTACTGTTTTGTGAGAAAGCAATTTACTTTTTATATCTGTAAGTCCTGATTATAAACTCAAGACAGAAAGATACAATTGGAGGCTCCTTTTTTGAGTTCCAGTTTGTCTAAAAGTATACTGAGGAAAAAATACTGAAAATAATTCTAGTGGTACTGCATAGTAAAAAGAAGGCGAAAAAAAAAAATCATTATCATCTTATTACGTGATATCATGATACTGTATAGGACAAATAGAGCCACACATGTGAAAAGAATTATGTACTGCTTTTCGAATTTCCATGTTAAGTTTTCTTCAGTTAGCATTTTTTGCCAAAATTACTAGTAAATGATGCTGTGCTTAGGCCAGATTTCAAACGGTCTCGTCCCCCCAGTTCCTCGGACTGGAGAATGACCGTTGCTTGAATGACTGCTTTTTTCTTTGCTTGCTACAGATCTAAGCCGCCGCCTTGTTGAGTCATGAAGGCGGGTTGTTATATTATTAAAGATTCCAAATACCCAACAGATACACACACACATAAATCTGACTGAATACACAAAGCCTAAACCCACCTGCTAATAAAACCCTGTGTGTTCACTTGTATTCATTAAAAAGCTGCTGTCTCTTCTATTTTAATTTGGCAGAGACTTATCCAACAACAACTTGTCGTATGTAACCGCATCTCTCATCGGAAAATACCGAAACATCACAAACTTGTGAGTACAATATAAAATAGGTCTTGTGATTTTTATTTTACAGTTGCAAAATATACATACATATATTTAAAAAAAGTAGTGTTTGAATTTTATATCACCCTTGTGTTGATTGGTTGGAGGTCTTCGCGTCGTCCCATTTATTAATTAAGAACCTAAAAATCGAGGAAACACCCCCACGTTTACGCTAACAAGAAGGAAATTAAGTTTGTTCGGAGAGCCGTTCAAATATTTCCCCTTTTAGATTTTCATGTCGCACAGTAAATTGTTTCGCATTTCTGCTGCGCGCAAGGAAGCAATTTTGAGAAACGGGGGCTTCCACAGGCCGGATTGTGCTCTACGTAGACTGCTTCTAATTCACAGCATGTAATGTATCTTTTGATTGGAGCACAAAATAGCACATTTAATGATTTTGCCGGATTTGAAAAAAGATATTGGCCTTGAATTTTTTTCTTTGTTTGGAGTCTTTTTGTTTTCTTCAACAACAAAATTAGGGATCGTGATTGGTTCTCCGCGTACCTGTACGTTGGTCATGTAATCGACGTGCCATCGCGTGGGTATCAAATTAGAGGTATTCAGTTACACCTTTTTGTAACTGGATACCTACGTTATTCACACGTCAATTACGTACACTGAGTTATATGTACTGCACTCAGTCCAGTTAGTATTACGTATCAGGTTATAAACCGCGTATTTGACTGTGAATGTTGGCAATTAACTTAATCTTCTCAAACTCATTTATCATTCATCTAAACAGAAGAAATGATGACCGTGACGGTGTTTGGAAACCTGATTTTAATAAGCGTAGATTTTTGCAACTTTACATCTTCATTTTCCCCTTATGGTAGTTTTGATTGAAATGACATATCAAACACTCAAGACAGTGTTTCATCGGCTATCCAAACACCTCGAATTTCGTCAAAAATACTCCGGTAAGGGTCGTATTTTTAACTCTCTTCTCTAAAATGTATTCAAACGTTTCATCCATTCCTTTAATTTCACTATAGCAACAGCTGTAAAAATTCGCAATTAGTGTTTAGTAAAGCTCGCGACATTATTACTTTCATATAACCCACAGCGTTAAGATCCTATTTGGTAGCTGTTTCTGTATGGGAACAATTCTTAATGGTTCTACTACTGTAAGTGCCTTAACTTCTAGTTTCACCCCTGTCTAAAGGTAACTCTTAAGGTGGCTCGATCGCATATTTGAGTAGCCATACTGTTCAACTTTGAACTTCTGTAGCACCACGATTATCACTCCAGCAGAAAATCGGACGTTATTGGTGTACTAGGGAAAAAAGAAAGTTTCGAATGAGTTATGTTTTACCGAGATGAGACTTACCATAGCATTTTTATGACGCCAGGCACCATCATCGTTTTGTAATAAACACGTTAAAATTTTCAAGCTTTGCGTGATATTGACATGGCGGTTACGAAAGGCTGTCGAGTGGGTCAAAAGATGAGTTATCGCTTATAAGTTTTTGTTAACTGAACAGTTCCTAAACTAGAAGAAGTATTAATTTCAGCGTTTCGGGCTTTAAAATGATAATTTTGTGTCAATTGTAAAAGTCAATGGCAGATATTTCTGTTACTTTACGGCCGCCATGTTTGTGCCCCTCGGAGAGGCACCAACATGGCGTGTCCATAATAAGCTCTATAAATTTGGGTGAAGCATTTCTCCGAATAATGCGCAAATGAAAATACGCACAGACCTAATTCTTGGCGAAGATATATTTATATGTCAATCATCTATCATATTCCAGATTCTTGACTTTATTTATTGAATGACTACGACTTTCATTCTTGATGAACACCAGCAGATGCTATGCGGATGTGGCAACTAACAATTTGTGTTTTCTGATTAGTTAAGGTATTTTAAAATTGTTTTACTCCCTTCCTTCCTTCCTTTTGATTCCATAGAACATTAGATGGAAACAGCTTATGCAATCTAACATCAGAGGGACTGTTGACAGACTTTTCCCTTCTGCAATATTTGTAAGTGTTTGAATTGTTAAGTATTGTGTGAAAGGCATGAAAGTAATTATGTGGTAAATTTCTTCTTATAATAATGTCCAGTGACGAAATGTGTATTCGCGTGTTCCTAAGTAGAGTGGCATCAAAGGTTTTATTGTGCTACTGTGCGTCTAATTCATAGCAATAATATTTTTACATGCCCAGGTTTTCTCGTTCCTGTGGAGAAAACAGAAATGGGAAAAAAGAAATGAACAAAAAAAGAGAAAACATCCTTATGACGCTTATTAGACATTACCATCCACATCCTGTTATCTTCATGTTTTTTTATTCTTTCTTTTTCGAAAAATTAAAACCTATCTTCCAGCACGTTCGCATCTTCAATATTTCACACCTCCATAAAAAATTAAAACCGTATCTAAAAAGTACACAAATTCTCAGCACATTCCTATGAATAAACTATTAAATTTGTTTCTGCTTAAAAGGAAAATGCTCCACAAACGCAATACAGTAAATGAAAACTCGCTGCCGTGAATAATTCAGCCTAAAAAGATTTCTGAGAAAAGCCGTTTAATGGACAAAGGCAGGAAACGGAATTATTACATATTGCCATTGCATGACTTTTTTACTTGAAATAAGCAAAAAGTAAATTATCTGACCACCCAATACAACTTGTGACTTAAAATCGCAATTCACGAGTTAAAAATAAACATTGCAAATAATGGAGCTGATTTCAAATTACAATTTAGAGAGCTTTCCAACTTTTACGTTTGTTGCGTTTTGTTTCAGTTCTGTCTGGTTTGATACTTTTAAATAGCTGTGCAGGATTTGTTTTGATATTTTTATCAGTTAGTAGATTAAACGAGTGCAAAATCCATTAACGAAAAAAGGTTATTCTATTGCGGTGACTGTTTCAGATCACTTCAAAGGAACTCCATCAGAGATGTGGACAGCAAATTCTTTAGAGGACTAAGTCGGTTGAAATACTTGTAAGTATCAGAAACATATCAGAGAATTACGACAATGAAGCCGAATCGTTTAACAAATGCAGACACTTTGAGGAATAGGAGATTATCCCCATGTGGTTCTTTCATTATCAATACATTTCGTCTTGCTTAAATTTGAGGATTTGGTCAAGTATACTGGCCTACCAACACGAGCAACGTATTCTTCGTAAGATCAGAGATGTTTTCAGTCTAGTCCCTTAGCCAATCAAGTGCAAATTTAAAAAGCAAAACCCAATAGTTACTTGGCATATTTTCTTGGTTTGATATTTTTAATGGCTCTGCACAATTTGTTTTAATATTTCCACCAGTTAAAAGAACGAGTGCAAAATTTAATGAGAAACATTTTTCTTTCTTCCACAGAAATCTGAGCCTGAACAATATAAAGAGTTGGACCGGGAACCAGTCACAAGGCACCCATGAACTTGAATACTTGGACATCACTGGAACAATCGACTGGGTCCCGGATGAAAACATCCTAGCCCTTCCAAGGCTCAAAGAACTCAGGGGGGTCACCTGGTGTAAATTTTGCCCAAACTGTACTGTAGTCAACCCACAAAATCTTGTGAACGAATCACAGCGAAAACGGAAGGCAGAAGAGTGCCTTCGAGAATTTGACGAGATGAAATTTTTAGAATTTGGACAAAAGGACCCTAAACGATTTATAAGACACCGATACTTACCTGAATGCATGTGCGTAAAGCAATCGGATTGCGAGTTCCGCCATGTTGTAATGCCATACTTTTTGACACGCACTTTACTTCCACAGACGTTATTTTACATAGAATATGCTGTCAGTCCTTTTACAATCCTGCTCAACATGGTCGTTATTGTGACAATTCTGTCATCTCGCTCTCTGCGAACGGTACCTTCATTTATCTTGATAGGCCACACGGCCGTTATTGACTTCCTAATAGGTGTTTACTCGATATGGGTGGCTCATGTAAACATTACGAATATTAATAGCATTCTTGAAGAAGTTATGTGGGCAGGGAAAGAGTTGCAGCCTTCAACTGGTCCAATCTTTATCTCTGTACAACTGATCTCGGTTTCTATTTCATTGCTTCTTACACTTGAAAGATATCTTGCAGTCGTTTACTGTGTGAGGCCCTCAAAGCGCATGACAGCTAAAAGTGCTCACATCTCGCTGTTTTTTGCTTGGACCATGGCCATCACTTTTGCGGTGATGCCCATATTTGGTGTTGGCGGTCTACATTACAACATCAAACGAGCCTGCACTCCTTTGAGTTATGATGAGGAATTCAAGTCAGGGTCCTCGCTGATTCTCCTGGCTTCTCTTGTGTTCATCGTGTTGCTATACCTTGCAAATCTTCCGTTGTATGTCCAACTTTTCAGGTTTGTAAAAAAGAGCAGCAATCAGGCTGGCGTGAAGAAAGAGTTGTCGCTTGCCAGAAAAATCGCCATTTTGGTTCTCACAAACTTCATTTTCTTTGCTGTACCTATAATACTTATTCTCGTGTTCTCCATCTTTGCCAAGCTTGACAGCAACCCGTTTGACTTCGAAGGCGATGCTTTTCAAAGCACCGTTTTCAAAATTTCTATTGGTCAATGGCTCCCTGTCACGTGTCTGAACATAAACTCCCTATTGGACCCGTTTCTTTATGCTTTCAAGCATTCCCATTTTAAGAGGGAGATCAGGCGCAGAATTCACCATTTCTCCAGAAAGGTCTTTCCTTCTTGGGCGCCTTCCATGAACTTGAACTCCGTCGGCGATTCAGTGACCAATGAGCCACAAACAAAGAAAATGTCAAGAATTGACGGCCAGCCGACCGCAAGTAACACCAAGAATAAAACTGTCCCCGATGACAACAAAGACCTGGAATTCCAAGAAACAGACAAAGAGTTATCTAAAACAATGTAAGAGATTAACTTCCCCGTCTGATAGAAGACTGTTGGAGGTAAAAGCAAAAACGTTTTGGGTGAAATAAATACACAACTAATAACGAGAGCTAAAATAAAACTCTAACTGAGATGGAAGCATTAAAAAATAATAATAGTAACACTACCACAAACACACAAAGATAACCGCCCATAGGAGGGCACTTCGGGTTGGGGGCAGTCTACTTAACAAATAGTTTCATGTTGCTGTGTGTCTGTTCAGTAATAGATCACAGATGGCATCAAAATGAGGTAACAACAAAAAAAAAGGCACACGAGCCGTAAAGAGAGTGGGCCACTTATTAAAGAGGCAATGAGCCAATCGTGCGGAAAGGTGTTTCAAAGTACAGCGACGGTTTAACTTTAATCTCCACTTAAGGGAAATCTTGGGTAAAAAACAGTTTTGTTCCAAATCACAAGCTGATGTTTGTGTTAAACTGTGTCCGCGATTTAAAGTCGATAATTGTTTGCCTATTTTCAATGCTGGGTGTTTCGCTCAGGTTGTTTTAGGATTTCAAATTTCCTGCGCGGCCATGTTTACTTTTGCAAAGCTTGATGGAGATTATGACGTCAAGCACAGTTGGACGGTTTTAAAAGACAAAATTGCGTGAATCTTGACATATAAAAGTGCTTCTGATCGTTTATAATCCATGTCTGGAATGAATATGCAGTTCCAACTAGAAATCGTCCTTTGGAGACTTTAGATTGAGATCTCTGACCGCTCAATGACGTCATCAATTACTATAAAGTAAAGATGACCACGCCCAGGTGATTTAAACTGAAAAGCAAACATTTCGTATTCGAACCATTCACACAAGATCAGTTAAAGAGAACCAGGGGGAATACTTTGGAACTTAAACTACTTTTCAGCCAAGATTCCCTTTAATTGTAAAGTGTCAATATTACATTGCAGATAAATATGTTTACAAATATTCATAGAGGTTTTTTTTGCCCCGTACGTCAACATCTCCGAGACAATTTACGTGTGGCCACCAAACCGAACGGAAGTTCACAATTTTGTAATTATTTCTTAACACCTTTTGAATCCAAGAATATTTGAAGTGGGAGCTTGGGTCGATATCGATCGCGCTGTAGAGCGGTTTCAATTGACGGTATCGTAAAACCAAAACCAAAGTAATCACTCTAGCCAATCACAAAGGACACAGACAATACAGTGAACAAATCAAGAGTGAAAGTAATTACAAGCAGCTGATGCAAAGGGCGGGAAACGTATGTGAGCGAGTAATGATTAGTTTTACTTTTGATTGGTGTGTTGTTTTGAGTGGCGCGAGTTTTTTCAGCCAATCGTGTGGTGTGATGCAAAACCAATAACTTTTGCCGCTCGAAGGGCCCCACAGACTGGACACTTAGTTGTCGACAACTCTTTGTTATCGACAACTAATTGTGTTCGATGTGAGCATTCCACACATTGGAGTGCAAGTCAGGTCAGCGAAACCTTGGGAGCTAACGTTCACTACGCATGTTCAAAACACAATACGCGCGCTCAAATGTGTGTCATGTTTCGATAGATGTCGACAACTAAACCAATGATTCCCAATTCATTTTTTACTAGTCGTTGTCCTCGGCGCGTCCTCGACGTTGCTTAAGCTCCGTATTAAATAGTTGTCAACAACTAAGTATCTAGTCTGTGGAGGCCCTAACGTAGTGATGTGTTCCTTATTAGTTTAGACGTGATTTGTGTTTGATGTAAATAACAATTTACTCACATTATGGTTCAATCAAGTGCAGGCACATTCTTAAATACTATGTTATACTTATTTCATTGTACCTAGATATTTAACAGTGTCTATGCTTGATGACAATGCCTCTACCTAGGGTAAAGATAACTCAGTGACAAGCTTGAAAAGATTTTTTTTGTTTTCCCGATCACTGTGAGAACTCTGTAAATGTCACATAATGTAAAATAATGGAGATTTGTGTGAAACCACTGTAGTTTGTGATCAACATCTGAGAAGCATCGTGGCCAATCATTTGTAAATATGTAGTTAAAAATCACTTATTAAAACAAAAAAGATCACGAGAACTTTGTGTTTGTTCAGCTACCGACAGGAAACTCCCCCATACTTGAAATTATGTATATATCGTCCACGGGCGATATTCTCGTCCCTTACATAAATCAAGGATTTACATTCAGCCTGGAAGTATTGTGAAAATATGTTCGGGAAGATTGAAACAGTAATTGAAGTCGTGGCAACTACGCATCGTGTTCCCGGTCAATTTGAATTTTGTGGACTCGACAATTCGGGCCAGTTTACCTTTTTCGCCTAAAAGAAAATACAAAACTTCTGCTAGTTCAGTCAATAGGGTGAAATCAAAAGTGGCATTTCATTGAGAGAAAACAACAATCACAAGTGATTATATCCCGAGAACCAATCAGTGCTTTTACGGAATTTTGGATCGTTTCAGAGGAGAGTTGAGGGTAGTTTTCACAAGATTGTTTGCACATCATAAACCTGGGAGTATCTCTAAATAGTACAAAACGGCCGGACTGTCAGGTTGTAGAGACACAATCAGAATGAGATTACAACCTACTTTAAATAATCAGAAGCAGAAGGAATTATCCATTTATCTCTTTTATTAGAAATATAGCGCATGGCCAATAATGTGCCATTGTTAGTTTAAAAATAATTGACAAATTCACAAAAGATCTCGCCATTTCTTTCAAGATTTCCATAACTTTCTATTAGTTAAAAATATTTGGTTAAAGAGTATATAAATTTCTTATTTAAAATTCTAACAATTTATTTTGTCTAGCAATTTAATAAATAACCCTTACTTTGTAATATTTCACTGACAGGAACAAAAAAATATATATCTTCAAAATTTAAACATATCACAAAGAACAAAAGAAAAGTTTTATTGATTAACATAAAAAAATATTCTACAATAAGTCATTTCAGGTTAAATATTCCTGTACTACATCCCAAAAATATACCTGAAAACGTCCCTGAAAACTATCTAAACTCTTAACAATTTTTTAATCAGTTTTGTGAAAACTGTAAAATTCCGTCATGCACCTACTATTTGGAAAAAAGGTGAGATGAAAATCGCTATGTTTGCCCTTTTTTTTTTTAAAGAACATCACTGAAATCCTTACAAATTTTAAAAATTAATATGGTGTTTAGGGACGCCGTCCTAAAATTAGAAACGTTTGCATGGATTTTAAACCATGTTTCAAGGTCCATTACTTAGTCTCTCTTTAAGTTAAAGGCATTATACTTGGTCAAATTAACAATCTGAAAGTGATATTTCACGTGGTGGTGCAGTTTGTCGATTGGTTAGAATTTGAAACTCACCCCAGCTCCCTGAGCAACTCCGAAATGGCCAGTTGTTGTCTAGCCCTGTGGCATTACAATTACAATTTAATGAAAACAGTGACAATTTGCAATGAGGAAATGAAATGTAAGCAATTAAGGAAACGAAAATGACCACACTGCTAGAAAATTAGCTGATAGCAATAGGATACACGCTGTTGACCTGTAACAGCCTGGTGGTGAATTAAAGTATTCACTTAAAGGTATTGCTTGATTCGTCAAGAACTATTACACGTGATTAAACAACACCAGTGTAAGTTCCAGATTGGTCCCGTCCCCTGAGCAAGGGTTCATTCTCTCCTGCGCCCGGGCTGTCATTTTCTGGTTCATCAGACGCTTGAACCTGTACACAAATCACAACGTTTTACGCTTTTCTGGTTTGCCTTTATACAGCTACATTGTAGGTGTTAACAGCCAAAGTCGGCTGGGGTGAAAAAAGCTAACTAGAAAGTCACAAGCTATATTTGAATTCTCGATAAAATTTTATATTATTTTTAGGATACCACAAGTTTCGAGCACAGAATTCAAATCTTTTCATGACAATCGGTTCAACCAGGTACTCTACAATACTGTTAAAACAAGTAGCTCTTACACAGGAGGCGAAGGTGATTCACATACACCAAATCTCAAGTTTTGTTAGTTTTAAGTTCCAAGTCGCCTAAAATGAAGACGATTCAAACTGCAGTTTGTTATTAGCCAGTCACAAATGAAGGTGAAAAGCTAATAAAGGAAATCACCATTGTTAACTTCTTGACCTAAAAATCTGATGTCATTAAGGCATTTAACCTGAATTAACCTAGTACAGTGCAGCTATCCTATCATGATGAAATTACCTGTTGTGGTGGATCAGGCTTAGGCATCAAAGGTGGAATTATTAGAAGCTCATTGTACAGGGCGGTGCCAAGCAACAGGAATAGAAATCCATCAACTGTAGGAAATAGATAAACTGTACATTGTAGTATAAATAAACTGTACGAGGCACAAAAGTAGAATATTATGCCAGCGTTATTCAAGATATATACAAGGTATACATGTACAACCGAATGTTCAGTTTCAACATGCACGTATCATTTTCAGTCATAAGAGCTCTTCTTAACAAGCCTCACAAATAAGTGCGCGGAGACATTTGAGTTGAACAAGTTTTCAGTTGCTCATCTTCTTGCCATATTTTATAATTCATACATTGCACATTAAAATGCACTGCATTTCCTATCTGTCATAACATCGAAAAAGGAGATTACAAACAATTACACAGGAAGACACGTTCTCACCTTGAAATATGCCATATTTACTATCCCAAGCTTCACCAAAACTCTGTCAACATAGAAACAAGTTAAAAAAGAAACATTAAAACGTTGAGATGAAATTTACAACAAGGCTTTGTCAAAACACACATTACTTTCTGATCCTCGTTATGGCCCTTAAAAGGTTTGACTGAAATTATGGAGATTGTTGTCACTTTAAAGACCTTTCAGAGCATTCCAGCATTCCAGAGCATTCCAATCATCATCATCATCATCATCGTCATCGTCATCATCATCATCATCATCATCATATTTGAACATATTTGAATTTACTTTCTTTCTGGATGAAGCTCAATGGAGCTCACTTAAATGACATGACAGAACTTCATGTTTTGCAAGTCATACACTACAGCATTGTAACTCATCAAAGACGACCACAATTTGTCATATAAAATACTTGTGTTTAGTGAGAATACCTTATCAAAGACGTAGTATATAAAAAGGTCGACAGCCCACACAACAATGGTTCTACAAGCATCTACTAATGTTCTGTGGACAGCTAAAAAGATAAAAGTACACAAAGAAGAAGATGGAAGACAGATTTTAGTTCAATACTGAAAAAACAGTTTGTCAAGTAATATATCAAATACGAAAGACAGGTGTTTGATCACATTAATTTTCCAAACACCGAGAAGAGAGTTGAAAACGCGACGCATAGAGGAGTATTTTTGACGAACTACGAGGTGTTTGGAAATGTGGTCAAAAACTGTCTTGAGTGTTTGATATATCTTCTCAATCGAATTGATTAATAATACTAAACAATTATTGGATGAGGTTTTTGTGATATCCAGAATAATCAAGGTCGAGGTAAGTGTTATCAGCCTCAGCCTTCGGCTTCGGCTGATAACACTAATGATGATTGTAACTGTTTCATGATCACTCCTTCCATTCACATCTTTCAGTCATTACTTTGCAAAAGGCGAAACTTAATGATAAAACGCCTTGCCGATAAAACAGAGCATAGAATAATACGGTGATAAGAGCAAAACCATTTCTCTACTGAACTCATAGGTACAATTTTAAGTTTCTCACCTGTTAAAGACTTTGTGACTGACAATCCAAAGAAATTGTAAAACGAGATAGAACAGATATACAAAACTGCAAAACAAAAGATTCAATAAATAGATATGTCAACTAGGATTGTTGAGGAGTTTTCTACACAGTTAAATTCTGTTTCCATGAATTAATTTCTCTGTGGTGCTGGGAAGTGTTTTGTACATACTTACATGTAGGAAACTTTTAGTTCTTGATAACTTTATTTCTTCAGGATCACATACAAGTAAACTGTATAAATATATACTCTTTTTTTTCCTGAGAGCGGAGGGCGTAAGTGCAAAACACTTAAACTCCTATTCAAGGTTCGATTATTTAAAAGGTATTTCATATGATAATTGTGATTTAGATTCAGCATCGTCAATGCCTATTGTTTCATACTAAATTGTTTTTTTTTGCAACTTGCATGTATATCCATAATTGTTGCTTCCCGTAACATTACTTCGTGGTCGAAAAACACTGTTTCATCCTCTATTCTTAAGCAGTCAATGACTTCTAAATAAAATTTAAAAACTGTTGGTAAAAATTCCAGGAGATTTTCAAAAAGGAGAATTGTTTCCATTTTCAAAGGATCTCGCCAATTTTCAAGAACTTTTTCTGGCTTTTACAAACTATGTGAACACACCTGACATAATTAACAATTTAGCATCATTCTTCATCATCAATAGAGCATCGAGACTGTTCTCGTAGCTGTGATGATTCTGATCTCCTGGAATGTAGTACAGCACAGGAAGGACTATCTGCAGCATAGACATACAAAAGAATCAAAACGTAAAAGATAAAAGCAGACGAATAACTAATTTTTTAAAAACGATCAATCACTCACAGTTTGTGACACAAATACGTTTACGATATATTTCAATCGTTCAACGATCATCATCAGTAGTAAGTTTACATAATGATTTTATAACAACCATTATGTACATGATGTATGTAATATGATTTAAAACTAACGTACAATATTCTAATGCGCGAGACATGTGACAATGTGTAGTTCAATACAGTTTCGGATATCCGATAATCTACAAGACAAAAGTAAATAAGACAAAAGAAGCAGGATTGCATTGAACATTTTCAACTTCGCCCTGAACACATCTCAACTCATGATTAGTAAGACAGGCCGAGCAGTACTCAGTAGACATACAGTTTGCACAGGTATCGTTAATTAGAACTGAAAGTAAAAAAAGGTCACAATGTACGTCTAGATCTTTAACTACATGTACTTATTTATCGACAGAATCATCAACTTACGGATTTCCAATTACAACCCACGCAAAGGAGATACTTACAACACTCATGAAAATGACTCCAAAGAAACCTTCCATTCCAACAACCTATAAATTGCAGATTGTATAACATAAGAGGCTAATAAATAACCACAACAAAAATAAAAACACATTAAAACACACACTTATTATCATGTCAAAAATAATTTCCAGATATAATATCCTTTCCAAATGTAAACCTAAACATTCCTTTGCTTAACATGATTAACATTCCTTCTGATAAGCTTCTATCAGTAGAATTATGACACATGGACATAAATTACACACTATTTTATTCTTCTTTTAAGTCGTAAATGACAAGCAAACACTGCCAATAAAAGCTCTGAAACTTTGTAATCACAGTTAATCTAAGTAACTGGTACAGGTGTAAGCATCAGTTTTCTCTAACCTCTGTAACTACTGCCCACTGAATAAAACAAAACATGATTATCACATGCAATGTAAAGCAAGTGATCAAGAGTGGAAAATAACCACCATCTAAATTTAAAAATATATACTCTTTTAAAATAAATGATGAATACCAACACCGTGGACAAAGTTTAAATAATAATAATAATATTATTATTATTACTATTATTATTAGACAGCCGACTTCCAGTATTATCATAACATGATAACAATAATAAGAATAAGAATAAGAAGAGTAAAAAAAACACTATCCAACATATACTAAAGTTTTGATGAAAATAAAAATATAATAATAAACATACAATAATAATAATAATAAGAGAAAAAACACTATTCAACGTATACTAAAGTTTTGATGAAAATAAAAATATAATAATAAACATACAATAATAATAATAATAAGAGAAAAAACACTATTCAACGTATACTAAAGTTTTGATGAAAATAAAAATATAATAATAAACATACAATAATAATAATAATAAGAGAAAAAACACTATTCAACGTATACTAAAGTTTTGTGAAAACAAAAATATAATAATAAAAATATAATAATAATGATAATAATCAGAGAAAACAAACACTATTCAACATATACTAAAGTTTTGATGAAAATAAAAATATAATAATAAAATATAATAATAATAAAATATAATAATAATAGTAAAATATAATAATAATAATAATAACAATAATACTAATAATAATACCTGTAGAGGATGGAACTTCCTTTTCTTCAAGAATAATTCTTCTACAATCATCTGAGTGGCACTAACACTCTGACCAGCCAAGATCAAAACAATGCCTGGTCATAGAATAATTGAGGATGACATTAAAAGGGAAAAGCAAACTGAAATACTTCATGTCTGTTAAACCTAGTTAAAAATAAATCAGACAAGTACCAACAACTTCAATATTTTGCTCAATGGTACTTTTTGCCAATGGTTTAATTAAGGTAGCTCCAGAGAGTGAAAAAAGGAAACATTTATAAGACAAAAACAGAACACAATCCACTGTAGGAAAAAAGATGGCGGCTGTACATTCTACCACAATGCCTTGCAAACCTAACACAGCCAACAAGGCACAAAGAAAGCCAAATTTTTACAAGATTTGTCCCTGTACTAAGGACATTAAGTAGCCTAAGTTTGCAGATTTTGTAACGTTTCTGTACGTTTTTATGAACATTGTAAAGGTTTTCATTCGCTAAGAACTATGGATAAATGTACCAGTTGCCATCTTTTTTCCTATGGGGGATTAAAACAACGTGATGTACAATGTAGATTTTGCTTGAGAATAATGGTCAGCCACTAGGCGAGGTGTGTGTAGTAACAATTACCAAGCCTGATATTATTCCTACACAAAACTGCACACTTTAAATTAATATGTAAACAAATTAACCATTCCACTTTGTCTAAGAAAATATCCATGGATGCATTTTTTTTTTTTTCAGAACTGCACATTTGATGTACATGCTGAAAACATTATTCTGTAGATTTGCAGCTCTTTACCTAATACAACTTGTCCTTGAGAGGAACCTTGATGGTTGTCTCTGAGAACACTTGACAATCCAACAAGCACCAAACCAAGCTGCAGACATTTAATTTAGAGAGTAAACTCATTCAGTTATTATAGTAATTAAATCTAAAATTGTTAATAAAATCTTGATCACTGAAAACCATCTTCTAGCATAGTTTTACGAAATAGAATATCAAATAAAATTTCCTAGCATGCTATAAATCAAATAAATGACGTTCACGAGACCTTAAGACCTTATGAAGTGACAAAAGCAAAATCATAATGAACAATGTACAATCATGTACAGCATGTTCTTGTACTACAGCAAGTAAATTCTGTAACAAGGACAAAATACATTCTACATCTACTCATGATCTCAAAGAGTGGGCAAGTTGAATCAAATCCTATGCTACGATAATGGTTACCTGATCATAAAGTCACGCTGGGGCGATCGCAGCAGCTCAGGATTATAATATAATTATTATGCAGTGTCTTGTCAAAGTATATCAAGAGTCATCTAGGTCAATACAGTAAATTAATACCAAATTCAAGTATGAATTTAAAACACACACCATAGTGACCATCATGCCAATCCAGTGAATTGGCCATAACTTTCTCTTGAGAAATATTTTCTAAACAAAAAGAGAAACTGGATTAAAACTCACTGACAATTTGTTCCTATGTCAAAAGTAAAAAAAAAAAAGATCAGTGTGAGAAAACAAATTTATACTCACAGAAAGCACACCAGTGAAAATAATAATTGAGCCTCTCAGCATCTGCCATACAGAGGCATTGACATAAAGCAGACCAATTCCTAGTAATGAAAATATTAAGAATGGGGGAAAATGCAGTCTAATTCTCTATTTTTGTAGTTAACTGTGGCAGTCTTCACTACCCTTATTCTATATAATTTATTTATACTGCATGAAATCTCTACTCTTCTATACACCTGCAACCTGAAACAGGCACCATTTCAGGTGCATCATAAATATTTACATTTACTTCAATCCAGCCAAAAATACAATCATGTGCAGGCCAACCTAATTACACGTATAATTATACATGTATAAAACCTTACATGTACATTAAAAATGGGAGGTTTCATTTTAAGAACAAGTAGTAAACACTGTAATTGATATGAATACAATACATCTCATTTCTTAACTTTACAGTAATTGCATGAAAGTTAAATTAAATTTTAGTAACCCATTCTGTTGAACATTTTTAACCTAAGCCAAGATGTATCTGGTGGATAAATGTCACCTGATATTCAGTCACATGCAGGAACATTTATTTAACAAACATATATATTTCTCTCACCTCCTAATGTGGTTCCGAACAGATCACAAATTGTAGGAAAAGCAAAGATCCATTGGAAAACTCTACAAGGATAAAATGCAATGCACAAATGCAATATATTTCATCTTTGGATCAAGAGGAAATATTTTTAGTTTACTCTGGATGTACAGTAGTGTAGTTAAAACCACTGTTAAATAATAATGTGACTATATTGTTATGAGTCCAGAGGCGCATCTGGCCAGATGACAACTTGGCCTTTGTTAAATAGCAGGGATGGAAGAGCTATCAAAAATGATTGCTAAGTCAACAAGGATATAAAATTGTGATATTACAAAGTTTGAAGTCAGTCGGTGTTGGCTGAGAATGAGAGCTGCCTCTTGAACAGGTGCATGTTTCTATGCTAGAGAATGAAAAACATGACTGTCGTTTTGTCCCAACACAGATAAGAAGAATTCAGCTATAAAATTATATGTCCATGTGACATGGCCCCACCCTAAAAGTAATATGTGCTCATGATGTTCAGTACCTTGGTTGTTGACTAAGTTCTGCAGAAGGTTCATCAGTGCTATTACTTTCACCTCTAGTGACACTCATTAAGTTCTGGTTTAGGACAAATGAAAAACATTTTTCAGTAATTCATGGCCAACATACATGTACCAAAGTTAACTGAAGTCTGAATCTTATAATAGGACTTTATATTAAATACAGCACTGCATGTACACCAGGAAATTTTGGCTAGCCAAAATTGTTTTAGAACAGGCTTTCAAAAAAGGCTTTTAAAAAAGGCTTTTTCGGAAATATACTTTTGGATTGTGCAGTAATGTTGTGTAATAAAAACATACATACCGTATGCAAGAAAGTAAAGGTTTCGTGTAGTGGAAATAAGTTAAATGATAACAAAAAATGGAATCATCAGCATGTGATTTTAGAATCATCCCTGATTCACTGAGCTTCTCTGAATAGCTTGGAGAGTTTGGACATTTAATATAAATTTTATCCTCATTACTTGCAAATGTATTTCAAGATAAAAAAGTTTTCAATCAATAATAAAGTGAAAAAACGACACGTACATACAAAGCCCATGTACAAGATAAAGAGAAGTACATTTAAGAATATTCAAACCTGCCGTAATTTCTGCCTTTCTCTCCTCCGATGAAAATATAAGCCAATCAAACACATTGTTTCCCCTGACACAAAGTAAAAGAAAAACTCTATTAAAATCATCACAAATATGTTATGCCTGCTTTCAGGTACGTGGCTCTTATAGCATGGCCAATAGGAAGTACCAGGTATATGTAATATACAGTGTGTTTTCATCCTAAGTACACGTAAGTTAATCAAGTAAACAGACAGTTCAACTAAAAATACTATTTTTATCGGTATTTGTTGTTCCAAAAGATATTTTGGTTTGAATCTGCTCAACCTAACCTCTAACCCCTCAAGAAATTCCATTTTAGACTTTTCTTAGCTTTTATCATGAAAAAAACCCTCTGCCTTCCTTGTCATTGGGAGAGAGCCTGGGAGTGAGGTTGGGCTTGCCCTTGGGACAAGTAGCTCTAAAATTTTCCTTGCCCTGGGCAACTCTTAGTTTGCTTTAGATGGTAGATGACTTGCTCGATCCCTTGCCATTCAGGCAGGTGAGAATGAAAAATTACTTGCCCAGAAGGACAATCTTCGAGCCCTAGAGTCACCCCAATCCCTAAGAATTTTCAGTAGCCTTCCACGGTATGGGTAGCAATTTTTACTCAAACTAGGCAGTTTGTTTCAATAGATATATTTTATTTTGTTTCCTTTATTTAAATTGTTAATCTTACCAATAAACATGAGCCCAGTTTGAAACCATGGGTGGTCAAATTTGTGGACTTCATTTCCATGTTCATCTTTAAGTCCCCTGGCTCTAAGAAAACAAACTGTTATTTATAATTATAAACACTCAATTTGAAGCATTGCCTGTCTCAGAGAACTAGCAACAGGTCATCATTGACACTGCAAGATGAGTGTGTTCAGCTTCTAACTATAATAATAATAATAATAATAATAATGTAATAATATATAATAATAATAATAATAATAATAATAATAATAATGCCAATACACACAGACAGGAAAATTACAGCCAACAGACCCGATATAGTGATTAAAGACCACAAAACGAAAACCTGTAAATTTATTGACATGGCAGTACCATCAGACAGAAACACATCCGTGAAA